TCCTAATGAGAGAACGCTCCTGGAGGAGGCAGCCTGGGGTGTCTGAGAGGGATCAGGGCCTGGTGATGGGAGAGGACAGCCGGGAAGGCGGTCCAGATGGAGGGGCTGGCACAGAACGGAGGGGAGAGTGGGCAGCCACTTCAGCCGGGCCCAGGGAATCGCCAGCAGATGGAAGAGGCACACTAAACATGGAGCCAGGAGGATCTTGGCCTTGGAGCCAAAACCCTTTGGCATCTATCAGAATGGTCCTAGACCCTCACAGGAGCCCTGTGCCCCCATTCTACAGCAGAGAAAACTGAGGCTCAGAGAGGTCAACTGCTCAACTAGAGCCGGGGCTGCCCCTTTATAGAGCCAGCAGGGGAAGGATGGTGCCTAAGAGGAAGACGAGAGGGAGGGAGGGAGGGCAGGAGGAAGGGGGGCCCCAGAGCCAGCACGGCAAAGTGGAGAGAGTCCCGGACAGATGCCTGGAGCAGAAGCTGCCAGCCCCTGCTCAGCACTCATGGACTGTTGACGCAGTGCGAGTCGCATCAAGGTGGTGTGGTGTGGTGGTTAGGGAAGCAGCCCCTGGAGTCAGACCACCTGGCATCGAATCCCAGCTCTGCCACTGTAAGCCCACGTCCTTGGAAAGTTACGTCACCTCCGTCATGGGCCGGTGAGGCTTGGATGAGTTATTACGAGTTAAGTCCTCGAGGCCTTGGCAGACACCTACGTTTATGGGGACCCTTCTCAGTGGGAGCCCATAGGGAGGTCTCCAACTCCCCATTCGCCGGGTTACTAGCAGGGGAGACGAATGGCCAGGGTCCAGCGGCCTCCACCTGGTTGTGTGAGCTTAAGTGTCTGCTCCTCTCTGGGCCTCAGTTTCCTCAAATGTCAAGTAAGGTGGTTGAGCTGGATGCTCTTCCAGTTCCTCCCTTCATCCACCCATCGCCCACTGGGTACCCGGCATCGAATTGGAAGGTTACAGTCCAGCCAGGTACTTACAGGTTCACAAGGAAGTAATTAAAATGGTCACCTCAACCCAGCCTAGGATCTTAGGGAAGACTTCCCTGCAGAGGTGATACCTGCGCTGAGTCTTAAAAGAATGTAGGACTTCCCCTTATGACAAAGGGCGGGCACTCCAGGTAACGAGGGCGGGATCACCAAAGGCCGGAGGTGTGGAGGGGGGCTTCGGGGTGGCAGCCTATGCAGTTGACTGTGTAGACCATCAGGCACAGGCTTGGGCTAGTGGGCACTGAGATGGGCATGTGCCAGCCCTGGGGGCACCGGGGGCCTGAGGTGCTTGGGGGCTATTGTGAATTTTTCTTAAATAGCCGTTTTATTGTGATAGAACTCATATACCATACAGTTCCCCTATTTAAATTGTACAAGTCGGTGACTTTTAGTGTATTCAGAATTGTGCAACCATCACCACAATCAATTTTAGAACGTTCTCATCACCTCAGAAAGAAACCCATTACCCATAGCGTCATTCCCCATTCTCTGCTCTCCCCAGCCCCTGGCAACCGCTCATCTACGTTCTCTCTCCATGGGTGTGCCTGTTCTGGACATTTCCATAGGCATAGAAGCATATACTGTGTGGCCTTCTGTGACTGGCTCCTTTCACCTGTGTGGTAGCATGAATCAGTCCTTCATTCATTTTTAGGGCCAAATAATATTCCATGATAAGCCAGGGTGGGTTTTTACTAGTAAGTGGCACAGAAAGGCTTACACTTTGGAAAGCTGGTCCTGGAGGGTGGACAGGAGGAGGCCAGATGGCCAGGAGAAGCTAAAGAGTGGGTGGGAGGGCAGCGAAGAAGAGCCAGGACCGGGCACTGCTGGGGAGGGAAGACGTGGTAATTGATTGGCTGCAGGGGGGAGCGGGAAGGAATGACAGGAGAAAGGGTTTCATGAAGCACAGTGCCAAGAGATACAGAAACCACAGATGCCCGGTGGGAGGGCCAAGGGGTGGCTGGGCAGCACTCCTAATGAGAGAACGCTCCTGGAGGAGGCAGCCTGGGGTGTCTGAGAGGGATCAGGGCCTGGTGATGGGAGAGGACAGCCGGGAAGGCGGTCCAGATGGAGGGGCTGGCACAGAACGGAGGGGAGAGTGGGCAGCCACTTCAGCCGGGCCCAGGGAATCGCCAGCAGATGGAAGAGGCACACTAAACATGGAGCCAGGAGGATCTTGGTCTTGGAGCCAAAACCCTTTGGCATCTATCAGAATGGTCCTAGACCCTCACAGGAGCCCTGTGCCCCCATTCTACAGCAGAGAAAACTGAGGCTCAGAGAGGTCAACTGCTCAACTAGAGCCGGGGCTGCCCCTTTATAGAGCCAGCAGGGGAAGGATGGTGCCTAAGAGGAAGACGAGAGGGAGGGAGGGAGGGCAGGAGGAAGGGGGGCCCCAGAGCCAGCACGGCAAAGTGGAGAGAGTCCCGGACAGATGCCTGGAGCAGAAGCTGCCAGCCCCTGCTCAGCACTCATGGACTGTTGACGCAGTGCGAGTCGCATCAAGGTGGTGTGGTGTGGTGGTTAGGGAAGCAGCCCCTGGAGTCAGACCACCTGGCATCGAATCCCAGCTCTGCCACTGTAAGCCCACGTCCTTGGAAAGTAACGTCACCTCCGTCATGGGCTGGTGAGGCTTGGATGAGTTATTATGAGTTACGTCCGTAGAACAGCGCCAGCATCTCATCGGCACTCGATAAAAGCCGGCCGTAGCACGGTATCCTCCAGAGCCCTGTTTCCGGTCTGTGCGATGGAAGCCTAACTACCCCCCCAGAGACCCCACGGCCATCCCTGCTGGTGTCACGCTACCTGGTCGGTGTGTCAGTCAGTCTTCGCCCTCGCCTGGCAGCTCCTTAAAGACTGGGCTGGAGCGGGTTCTTCTCCGAGACCCCCACAGGGCCTGGTCAGGGTGGCATCATCAGGGGGGTGTTGATTAGGGTGGTTGCAAAGTGGGGCCGAGGCGGGGGGGGCGGCATTTTCTAGCGGCAAGCCCTGAGATTGCAGCTGCAACCCCCAACCCCTCCCAACCCTGGGCCAGTACTGCTCATCGATTGCAATACTCACAGCCACGTTAGGGAGTAGATGCTCTTACCAATGAGAAAACTGTAGCTCAGAGAGGTTGAACCACTTGTCTGAGGTCACCCAGCGGATTGGTATTTGAACCAGCTAGTTTGATAATGCCAGGAATTGTTCTAGGCATTGTTGCCTAAATGAACCAAATGTCCTCCTCACCACGACTCTAGGAGGTAGATACTATTGTTCCCATTTTACAGGTGAGGGAACAGCTTAGGTGACTTGCCCAAGGTCACACCGCTGGCACCGGTGGAGCTGGGATTTGCAGGCAGCCGGCATGCTGACCACCACTCTTCACTGCCTTTCTACGTGCATGGCCGCCAAAGCCCACGCTCTTTCCTCGTAAGCAGGCAGTGTCTAGAAGTATTGAGATGGAGCGTCTGAGCGCCAGGTTCCGTGCTAGGCACGGGGAGGAGCTGCGAACCAGACATCGCTCTGATCCTGGGGGAGCCGAGAGCAGGGCCAGGAGACCCCTTGATGAGTGATTTCCTAAGCCTTGGACTTGAAAGATACGCTTGGAGTCTGCGGCTGGAAAAACAATTTGGGACATAAATGTATGTTAGCCGTTTATGTAGGAGGAAAGCGATGCTCAGAGAGGTGGGCTTGCTGACCAGAGCTCACACGGTACTCCAGCACGGAATGTGATCAGGTGAGAACGCAGGCCTGTGGACAGTTTAGCTGCATTTCATCCCAGGGAGGAACCTGCCCCTTGCAAAGCTCTTCCCTATCCACCTTCTCACGTACACCTGGCACGATCTCCCCCACGGCACCACAGCAGAGCGGGGATTATGAACCCCAGTGGGTGGAAGAAGAAACAGGCCAGGAAAGGGGCAGGGCCTAGAGCCCAGGCCTCCTGATTCCCAAGCCAGGGCCAGAAGGAAGGCCACACAGGCCCACACAGGAGTGGTGACCTCTTGTAGGACCTGAGCCCTGAGCTGTCGGGCCTGAACCCAAATCCTGAGCATCCCCCAGAGCAGGGAAGAAGGCCAAAGACCCTGTGAGATCCCACATGGCTCAGTGCCCACCAAGTGCAAACACTGCCCTCCTCAGGCTCTCCCCGGTACTTCGGAGCCTTTTATCTAGTAAATTGATCAAACACCTATCATAACTGCTACTATTCATCGGGCACCTAGACGGTGCAAAGCCTCATGTCATGTGCTTTACACGCTTACGCCAAATGCCCACAATGACCCGCAGAAATGGGCCTTAGAGTCATAATTTTACAGGTAAGGGAACTGAGTCTCAGAATGGTTAAGCCACTTGTCTAGGGCCACACAGCTAGTACCAGGCCACGCTGGGACTCAAACCCAG